CTGAGCGCTTTACTACCAGCAAATCTGCCAACAGAAGAGACCGCGATTAAAAAGTTTATTGCTACCTGGTGCCTGGAATCTGTGGGCCTCCCAATGAGACCCTTGGTTCATGCTTTGGCAAAAAATGCTCCATCTGGCAGAAGGCTATTGGTCAAGAGGTGCCTTTGTGTGCCCTGGTTATAGGTCAGAGGAGAATCCATATGGGTTGCACAAGGGTTAGAGCCAGCAGGGGAAAACTTTGGCCCTCCAGGTGTTTTGTACTTCAACTCCCACAATTCCTAACAGCTGGTAGACTGTTGGGAATTGTGGGAGTTGAAGTCCAAAACACCTGGAGGTTCAAAGTTTGCCCATGCCTGGGTTAGAGAGAGAGAGACCATCTTGATTGCCGTGAAGTCACTTTGCTCAAATCATCTCTGATTTGTGAATGGAAGACCTACAAGATTTCAGTTCAGGGCACCTGTGCCTTCATTGATGGTTCACTGATGTTTTGGTCTTCTTTTTTTCCTGCTTCATTGCCAATCTGGTCACCTTGACTAATGAATGGAAGACCTCCAAGATACTAACTCCAGGCATCCATGGCTTCCTTGATTGTCCATCCATGTTGTGGTCTTCCTCTTTTCCTATTTCATTAACATGAAGACAACTTCAACTCATGAATGGAAGACCTCCAAAGGTACCAACTCCGGGCATCCATGGCTTCCTTGATTGTCCATCCATGTCGTGGTCTTCTTCTTTTTCTACTTCATTACCATCAAACCAGTTTCAACTCATGAATGGAAGATCTCCAAGATAACAACTCCAAGTGTCCATGGGTTTCTTGATTATCCGTCCATGTTGCAGTCTTCTTCTTTTTCTACTTCATTGCCATCAAGCTAACTTCAACTCATGAATGGAAGACCTGCAAGATATCAGCTCCAGGCATCCATGGCTTCTTTGATTGTCCACTCATGTTGTGGTCCTCCCTATTTTCCTGATTTCTTGGCATCAAGTCTACTTTAAGTTATGAATGGAAGACTTCCAAGGTACCAAATCTGGGAAGCTGTGTTGTGCTCTTCCTTTTTTCCTATTTCATCAAGTCAGCTTCAATTTCTAAATGGAAGACCTCCAAGATACAAACTCCAGGCATCCACAGCATCCTTGTCTGACCAGACATCCATGGCTTCTTTGTTGTGGCCTTCCTCTTTTCTGGTTCATTGCCATCAAGTCAGTTTGAATTCATGTATGAGTGACCTCCAAGGTATCTACTACAAACATCCATGGCCTCCTTGATGGTCCACCTATGTTATGGTCCCCCTATTTCCCTGTTTCATTGCCATCAAGTCAGCTTGGACTCATGAATGGAAGACTTCCAAGATATCAATTCTGGGAAGCTATGTTGTGGTCATCCTCTTTTCTTCTGCATTGCCACAAAGACAACTTCAACTCATGTATGGGAGACCTCCACAATATCTATCACAAGCATCCATGTCCACTTGGGAAATGGTCTCCAGATTTCCTGCTTCATTGCCATCAAGTCAGCTTGGACTTATAAATGGAAGACTTCAGTTATACCAATCTGGGCATCTGGGGGTGTCCTTCATTCTCTACCTGTGTTCTGGTCTCCCTACTTCACTGTAATCAAGTCAGCTTCGACTCATAATAGAAGATCTCAGAAATATGACTCTGGCTCTCAAAAAGGATCCCCAAAAGTCCAAATTCATAGACTCCTAGAGTTGGAGGGGATCCTACAGGCCATCCAGTTCAACCCATTTCTGCCAAGCAGAAAGACACAATACAACCACTCCCAACAGATGGCCTCCCAGCTTTTGCCTAAAGACTTCCAGAGAAGGTGACTGCATCGGATTCCAAGGAAGCAGCATATTGAAGCAAAATTGGCCTTCTGAAGCTGCCTGGTTTAAGCCAACAATTCATACATCTTGTTCCCGGTGCCCTTAGTTCTCAATAGGCCAATTTGGTGGAAGGCCTTCTTCCAATCCCAGAGTATCATTTACAGAAATGCTTTTGCCAAATGCCTATTATTTGACCTTTGTAGGCACCCAAGCAATCTAATTTCCAGAGAAATAATACTATCTGGATTACTGTTTTAATGTTGCCATGAATTCTGTGTTTCAAGACTGATTTTTTTTTTTTGGCCTCTAACTTAATGTGAATTTTATGGAAAATCACTTTATTCTGGACCGTAAGCCACCTATTAAAACCTTGCCAGGACAGAAGCGGGGAATACATTAGACAGTTAAAATAGATAACAGATAAAACCAGGAGTAGTTATGAGTCGCCCAAAGCTTGGGAAAGTTCCATTTTGGATCTATGACATATCAAGGTTCTTGCTGCCATGCAAATACTGGAGACTTTTCAATCATGTTCCTTTTACAACAAAACGAAAGAATACTGGAGAGTTTCCAATTATGTTCTTTTTTATAATATTGCTTTAAAAAAAAAGAAACTGGTAAATTTATGTTTATATTTAAGGCATTATTGTAAGCTGTCTTGAACCCCATCTTGGGAGAAAGATGGGATATCAATTCAATCAATCAGTCAGTCAGTCAATCCAAACCTGCACCACGCTCTCCTCTAACCGCACTGAGATAAAAGTGCGGTAACAACAACAACAACAACAACAACACTCTGATCATTTTAAGGTATTATCGTAAGCTGTCTTAGAATCATAGAATCAAAGAGTTGGAAGAGATCTCATGGGCCATCCAGTCCACCCCCCTGCCAAGAAGCAGGAATATTGCATTCAAATCACCCCTGACAGATGGCCATCCAGCCTCTGTTTAAAAGCTTCCAAAGAAGGAGCCTCCACCACACTCCGGGGCAGAGAGTTCCACTGCTGAACGGCTCTCACAGTCAAGAAGTTCTTCCTCATGTTCAGATGGAATCTCCTCTCTTGTAGTTTGAAGCCATTGTTCCGCGTCCTAGTCTCCAGGGAAGCAGAAAACAAGCTTGCTCCCTCCTCCCTGTGGCTTCCTCTCACATATTTATACATGGCTATCATATCCCCTCTCAGCCTTCTCTTGAATCCCATCTTGGGAGAAAGATGGGACACCTATTCAATTCGATCAATCAATCCAAACCTGTACCAGCCTCTCCTCTAACCTTGCCATTTTGTGTCTCAATTGAGATAGAAGTGAGGTGGTAATAATAATAATAATAATAATAATAATAATAATAATAATACCTTTATCGATGTAAGATATTATTGTAAGCTGTCTTGAATCCCATCTTGGGAGAAAGATGGGATATCAATTTAATCAATCAATCAGTCAGTCAGTCAGTCAGTTAATACAAACCTGCACCAGGCTCTCCTCTACACTTGCTATTTTGTGTCTCAATTGAGATAGAAGTGAGGTAACAACAACAACAAAAACAACAACTTGATCATTGTATCATAAGCTATCTTAAATCCTATCTAGGGAGAAAGATAGGATATCAATTCAATCAAGCAAGCAATCAGTCAATCAAACCTGCACCAGGTTCTCCTCTAGCCTTGCCATTTTTTGTCTCAATTGAGATAGAAGTGAGGTAACAACAACAACAACAACACCTTGTTCATTGTAAGGTAATATTGCAAGCTGTCTTGAATCCCATCTTGGGAGGAAGATGGGACATCAATTCAATTCAATTCAATTCAATCAATCTGTCAATCCAAACCTGCACCAGGCTCGCCTCTACACTTGCTATTTTGTTTCTCAATTGAGATAGAAGTGGGGTAACAACAACAACAACAACAACAACAACAACAACAACAACAACAACAACAATAAAAGACTCTGGCACAAGCCAGTAAAGGTGGTCCCAGTGGAGATCGGCACACTGGGTGCAGTGCCTAAAGACCTTGGCCTATTGCACTTAAAAACAATAGGTGCTGACAAAATTACCATCTCTCAGCTGCAAAAGGCCACCTGACTTGGATCTGCACGTATTATCAGCCAATACATCACACAGTCCTAGACACTTGGGAAGTGTCTGAGGTGTGATCAAATACAAAAGCCAGCAAAGTGATTTTGTTTGCTGTGTGCTAATCATGTTGTGTCTAATAATAATAATAATAATAATAATAATAATAATACCACAATCCAGAGCAGAAGAGAAAACTGGCAAAAGAAGGCACTCCATGGACAGATTCTGGCAAAAATTGAGAGCCAAATTGACAAAGAAAAAACATGGCTGTGGCTCACAAATGGAACTCTAAAAAAGGAGATGGAGGGCCTGATTCTGGCAGCCCAAGAACAAGCCAGTCAAACCAATGCCATCAAAGCCAGAATTGAAAAGTCGACGACAGATCCCAAGTATGGGCTCTGCAAGGAAGCAGATGAAATTATAGATCACATCCTCAGCTGCTGCAAGAAGACTGCGCAGACAGACTACAAGCAGAGACATAACACCGTTGCTCCAATGATTCATTGGTACATGTGCCACAAACACCATCTGCCTGTGACAAAGAACTGGTGGGATCACAAGCCAGAAAGAGTTACAGAGAATGAACATGCCGAACTCCTCTGGGCCTTCCAGATTCAGACAGACAGAGTTTTGGAGCATAATACTCCTGACCTCACAATCGTGTTAAAAAACAAAGTATGGATCGTTGATGTTGCAATCCCAGGTGACAGCAGGATTAACGAGAAACAACTGGAAAAGATGACACAATATGAGGATTTAAAGATCAAACTGCAAAGACTCTGGCACAAGTCAGTCAAGGTGGTCCCAGTGGTGATCGGCACACTGGGTGCAGTGCCTCAAGACCTTGGCCTGCACTTAAACACAATCGGCACTGACAAAATTACCATCTGCCAGCTGCAGAAATTCACCTTGCTGGGATCTGCACGCATTATTCGCCGATACATCACACAGTCCTAGACACTTGGGAAGTGTCCGCCGTGTGATCCAATTCAACAGCCAGAAGTGTCTGCTGTGGACTCATCTTGTGGTGTTTCAAATAATAATAATAATAATAATAATAATAATAATAATAATAATAATAATAATAATAATAATACCTTGGTGCCATCCTCGTTTCCTTCTGCATGGACAGTATAAGCCGGACCATCTCTTTGCAAGCTTTCTGTGGCAATGCGGACTTTTACCCCAGGCAGCGGATTCCCCACCGATCCTAAAAGAGAGAAGGAAAAGAAAGAAAACAGAAGTTGGTAAAAGGAATAGTTTGATCCAAGCCAAGCTCAGTGAGTCATGCAAAAAATAATGGGCAAAATACAAGGTCAAGATCGTGAGTTTTCTTGGTGGAAGTTTTCCTTCTTTCAGTGAAAAAAAYCAAAGTGTAGAATACACTCAGGGTGCATCTATACTGCAGAATTAATGCGGTTTAGCATCACTTTAATTGCCATGGCTTAGTGCTATGGAATCATGGGAGGTCTTTCCCCCCCCCCCCCCGCCAGATACTGCTATTGCCTCACCAAACTGCAAGGGAATCCCCCGTAGCACAATGGGTTAAATCCTGAAGACCAACAGGTCAGCGGTTAGAATCCAGGGAGAGCATGTTGAGCTTCCTCTATCAGCTCCAGCTCCCCATGCAGGGACATGAAACCTCCCACATGGATGGTAAAACAGCAAACATCCGGGTGTTCCCTGGGCAACGTCCTTGCAGACAGCCAATTCTCTCACACCAGAAGTGACCAGGAGCCCCCGGTGATGCAGTGAGTAAAACCACTGAGCTGCTGAACTTGCAGCTCCCACTACTGGCCCCAGATTCTGCCAACCTAGCAGTTTGAAAACATGCAAATGTGAGTAGATCAACAGGTACTGCTCCGGCAGGAAGATAACAGCGCTCCATGCAGTCATGCCGGCCACATTACCTAGGAGTCGTCTATGGACAACACCAGCTCTTCAGCTTAGAAATAGAGATGAGCACCTACCCCCAGAGTTGGACATGACTAGACTTAACATCAGAGGAAAACCTTTACCTTTATTAGAAGTGACTTGCAGTTTCTCAAGTTGCTCCTGATATGAAAAACAAACAAACAAACAAACAAACAAACTGCAAGTCCCAAGATTGCACAGCATTGAACCATGGCAGTTCACGTGGTGCTAAACTGCATTAACTTTACAGTGCAGATGCCTCTTCATTTGCACCTATTCCTCAAAACACACAGATATATTACAACAGGAGATTTGTTTCTAATTTGCATTCCTTTTCATTTATATCATGGAATTTGGGCAGTAGGTCAGAATGGAAGAGGGGAGAGATTAAGGGTGAATCTACACTGTGGAATTAATGTTCAGTACTTTAATTCAATGCTATGGAATCCTGGGAGCTGTAGTTTGATGAAGCACCAGCCCTCTTTGGCAGAGAAGGCTCAAGACCTTGCAAAACTACATGCATTCCCCATGATTTGATAGTATTAAGCTATGGCAATTCAAGTGGTAATAAACTGCCTTCATTCAACAGTGTAGATCAGTCATGGGCCAACTTGGCCCCTCCAGGTGTTTTGGACTTCAACTCCCACAATTCCTAACAGCCGGTAGAGAAATGTAATGTTGGTGGACAGGAAAAGAGATTTTTAAGGTGGGCTTAAAGCCAACCTTAAAAACTGTGGCATAGACACCGAGAGAGACTGGGAAGCCTTGGCCTTTGAGAGCTCTAACTTGAGGTCAGCTATGACCAGCAGTGCTGCAGAATTCAAAGAGGCATGGATGGAGGGAGAAAGGGAGAAACGTGCCAACAGGAAAGCACATCAAGCCAACCCTGACTGGGACCACCTTCCACTTGGAAACTGATGTCCTCACTGCGGGAAAACAGCCAGTAGAGAAATATAATGTTGGTGGACAAGAAAAGAGATTTTTAAGGTGGGCTTAAAGCCAGCCTTTAAAACTGTGGCACAGACACCAAGAGAGACTGGGAAGCCTTGGCCTTTGAGAGCTCTAACTGGAGGTCAGCCATGACCAGCAGTGCTGCAGAATTCGAAGAGGCATGAATGGAGGGTGAAAGGAAGAAACGTGCCAAGAGAAAAACACATCAAGCCAACCTTGACTAGGACTGCCTTCCACCTGGAAGCTGATGTCCTCACTGTGGGAGAACATGCGGATCAGGAATAGGGTTCCACAGCCATCTACGGAGCCGCCACGAAGACTCTACACTTGGAGGACCATCATCCTCGAGCTATGAAGTAAGTAAGGAATTGTGGGAGTTGAAGTCCAAAACACCAAGAGGGCCCAAGTTGGCCCATGTCTAATGTATATGCACATCAAGGATGTAAAACGAGAGAGAGAAGGGTTCATTCCAGAAATTAGCACAAATTGTGTTTTAGCAATGTCCTGTTTCCTGGGTCTTCTCTGGGCTTGCCTTCTTCCTTAGCATACAAGCAGAAATCTCCTGCATTGCTAAAGGTAAAAGCACCCTCCTCCTGAGCGCTGTCTTATCACTCTCTTCTCAGAAAGGGTCTACTCTGAGCTCCCTCCCTCCCACTTCTCTTTTCCCGACCAAAAATACTCGGCAAACCTTTCAAAGCGGAAGGCTATAAAAGGCTAGGAAAAGCTGACAATGTTAATTATGGGGATACCAAGACTACCATGCAATTAATGTCTTTGCGCAAAGACAATGGCGTGCACCGCTGAGAGCTCCACTGCCAGTTAAAAAAAATTAACTCTGCATGGATAACAGGGGCACCAATTTGGCTCCGAATTGGTGCAAGGAAAGATGGAGAGGAATGGGAGGGTACCGCTCATGAGCATTTCAAAAAGAACAGAACCTAGAAGAGTTGGAAGGGATTTATTTATTTACTAGCCGTCCCCTGCCATGCGTTGCTGTGTCCCAGTCTGCGTATATGTGTTTTGTATGTGTATATATATGTGGATTTGTGCATGCATTGTAATATATTTATTTATTTATTTATTGGCTTTTTAAGTTGCTTCCACTGTGTTTTTCAGTGTTTTTATGAGTGACTAACCGTCCCCTGCCACACGTTGCTGTGTCCCAGTCTATGTATATGTGTTTTGTGTGTGTATGTATGTGTATGTGAGTATATATGTGGTTTTGTGCATGTGTTGTAATGTTGTTGTTTTTTTTTTTGGCTTTTTAAGTCTCTTCTGCTGTGTTCTCCAGTGTTTTTATGAGTGACTATCCATCCCCTGCCACGTGATTCTGTGGCCCAGTCTGGTGATCTGGAAAATAAAGTAATGGTTTCTAATATATGTAATTCCTTTATGCTTGTGGGTAAACAGTATTCCTTGCTGTTTCTATGTCAGTGTTGATGTGGAGATTGTCTGGTTTGCCTACTCTGGAACATGCAACATATAATTGTCCTTCTTTAGGGGTCCCTTTCAAATCTATGATACTATCTCTCTCTCTCTCTCTCTCTCTCTCTCTCTCTGTGTGTGTGTGTGTGTGTGTGAATCATATCTATCTATCTATCTATCTCTATATTTCTATCTATCTATCTATCTATCTATCTATGGCCGAATGGCTCTTTGTCAGGAGGACTTTGATTACGTTTTCTTGCCCTGATGAAGGGAGTTGGATTGGATGGCCTTAAGTATTTTCTGTTGGTCATGGGGGTTCTGTGTGGGAACTCTGCCCTGATTCAATCATTGGTGGAGTTCAGAATGCTCTTTGATTGTGAACTATAAATCCCAGCAACTACAACTCCCAAATGTCAAGGTCTATTTTCCCCAAACTCCACCAGTGTTCACATTTGGGCATATTAAGTATCCGTGCCAAATTTGATCCAGATGCATCATTTTTGAGTTCACAGTGCTCTCTGGATGTAGATGAACTACAACTCCAAAACTCAAGGTCAATGTACACCAAACCCTTCCAGTATTTTATGTTGGTTGTGGGAGAGCTGTGTGCCACGTTTGGTTCAATTCCATCATTGGTGGAGTTCAGAATGCTCTTCGATCGTAGGTGAACTATAAATCCCAGCAACTACAACTCCCAAATGTCAAGGTCTATTTTTCCCAAACTCCATCAGTGTTCATATTTGGACATATTGAGTAATTGTGTCAAGTTTTGTCCAGCTCCATCATTGTTTGAGTCCACAGTGCTCTCTGGATGTAGGCGAACTACAACTCCAAAACTCAAGGTCAATGCCCACCAAACCCTTCCAGTATTTTTTGTTGGTCGTTGGAGTTCTGTGTGCCAAGTTTGGTTCAATTCCATCCTTGGTGGAGTTCAGAATGCTCTTTGATTGTAGGTGAACTATAAATCCTAGCAAAATGACAAAAGCAATCCTCCCAACCCCACCAGTATTCAAATTTGGGCATATCAAGTATTTGTGCCAAATTTGGTCCAGTGAATGGAAATACAGCAAATATTTGCATTATGATTCATAACAGTAGCAAAATTATAGTAATGAAGTAGCAACAAAAATAATGTTATGTTTGGAGGTCACCACAACATGAGGAACTGTATTAAGGGGCCGCGGCATTAGGAAAGTTGAGAAACATTGCACTAGTTACTTCTCTCCAGGATGAAGAGGAGCCATTGCTAAGCTTCTTATTATTCCTGGTTTTGGGTTCCTTTCTGCTGGCAAGCATCTTCCCATTGGAGTAGGAAGAAATGCCGGGCTTCCAAACCTCCCTCCCTTCTCTCCTTCCAATCTCCTGGACATTTGGCAGGCTGCCTCTTGAGCCACCAGCCATTGAAACAGGCAGCCGTCAGAGAAGGGAGCAACCCTATTAGTCCCTCATTGGCCTGCCCCCCTTCTGCCACCAGCCCTTCCTCTGTTTAAGTTAGTTGTCAGTTCCTCCCTGATAAATTTAATTGGCCCCGCGGTCTGTGTCCTTGGGTCTCTGGGGACCGGGATGCTGTGATGCCTGGCGGGGTCCGGGGGGAACGGAAACAGGCCGGCGATAAGGCTCTCAGCCCTCTCTCCCTGTCAACAATCTATGGAGTCCCCCGCTGCAGGAGCTATTAGCCGCCTCTGATCTAAACCTCCAATTAAAGTGGTGATTAGGCCCAGCGAGGCATTCGCCGGCCATGAATTATTCATCTCCCTTCGCAGTAACAACACCGAGGGGGATTCAGAGGGAGAGAAGAACGCTGCGGAAAAACAGACGCATTTTAAGCAGGGGTTTTAACCATCTAGGAGCAAAATCGTTTGCTCTGAATCTTGCAGCCCGCATCCTTTCCACGTGGCACTTTGCTCTCCAACTTCA